CAGATTAGCAGTACTTCGCAACTATATTAGAACCAAAGAAAAAACAGCCTGCGGCCCAGCGAAGTCCTTAGCGTGTGATCTCCAGATAGATAATGGCTGCACGCTACAACAGAACGCAGGGTGCCGCATGGTAAAAAGTGTCATGTTCGTCTAACAAACAGTGCTTCTTTGAGTTTCAGATAACATATTATTTATTATAATAATAATTATGAAGATATCTATAAGTAAATACACCCATTGATTTGTGGATTAACAAGATAAAGGAGGGGGTTGGGGTCCAATGTACCGTTTCACTGAGTTATCACAGTGGTTAACGATTTATTTACCAAACGGTTAAAAGCAAAAAAAAAGTGTGATGGCACAATATTACAACAACATCACAAAGAAATCAGTAAGAGAAGGAGAATGAACAGGGGCTGCCTGGACAACCAAAGCAAGTTATATTCGTAGACCAGAAGGGTCCTCACAGCTCTCGACTTTTATTTACCTGTCAGCGTTATTAACAGATAAGGAGAGGAGAAAAACATCAATACAAATAAAAGTATCTGAACTCGATTTTAATTATAAGATACTTATTTTCTTTAAAAGAGTAATTAACCGTAGTAAGAGTTCTTTCCTCGAGGAGAATAGAGAAGGAAACAAGGACAAAGTCTAAAATGAAATAAGTAACTGTGAGCGAATGCTTTGGTTCACATGGCTCACCCAGTTGCTTCGCCACCATGGATGGTGTGAGAGCTTCAGTGAACCTCGTTGCTGTTCCTGGCAGGTTTCACGTAGGGCTCTTCGTCTGTCTTTTTCGATACCACGTTGCCATTGATATCGATCTCGTCAGACACACGGACGTTTGGCAGCAACAGGGTCATCGGGATGACCAGAAGCGGCAGGATAATGTGACAGACAATGACGAGCTTCACGGCGTTCTTGAAGTCGCACGGCGGATTACTTTTGATGGGCCACACATACTCCATCAGGATGGCACCTATCGAGGTGCCGGTGGTGAAGCCGAGATTGCCAAAGCTGGCTAGGAGCGCATACACCGTGCTCTCGGAGCCGCGCGGACACAAACGTGACAGCAGTATTACCGCTGCCATCCATGAAATCATTTTGACCAGTGGTGAAATGATAGTACTGGTACCGATGTAAAAGAGGTAATCGGGAATGCCGATCTGTATATTCCAACGCTTGAGCATGATGACCTCAGGAAACACAAAAGGTGTGAGTACGACCGTGGTAATGATCATGATTTTGCGGTAGTTGGACTTTGAGAAAAAGTAGTTGAACACCAAAATACCGGTTAAACTCGACACGGTAAGGAGGACGGTGCATACAGTGTACATGAATGTCAAAGAGAAGTGCGGCCCACCAGGCACACAATCGGGTCCAGCGATGTAGAACTTGTCGATCCCAGGTAAATTTATACAGACTACCGAACTTAAATAAATAAATACACTAGCCTTTGCAATAATGGACGGCAGTGCCCAGAAGGACATCGCAGAGCACACCAACGACACCACTACGCAGGTAATAAGCAACCCTAGAGTATCTGCAAATATGTTGACGAAACCCATGGTTATGACAGCGGTTGTCATGACAACACTGTATGCAACAACCTTCTTGTTCCGCATGATGACCTCCTTGTTGATCTCGATAAGTCCACAGCAACTGCTGATCGGCTGCGGCAGCAGAAGCTCTGGGATCGCCTCCAACTCTAGAGCCTTTCCCTGATCCACATCGAGACTGCCTTCCTTCCTCTCTGTGCGGCTTAGGGTTTTCCCCTTCTCAAGCTCCAGGAGTAGCTCCTTGTGTATATTACATGCATCCCCAATCCGCTCCTCGTGGTTCGTCTTCTCGCCGTACAGGTTGAAGAGGTAGATCAAAGATGCAAGGAACTGTAACCAAGCGGCGATGAACACCCCAACTTGTGGCATATTAAGATCGCCTAACGGACCCTGGATCATTGTGCCTACAGTGCTTCCGGATCTTACAAACCACCAAACCCAGCTCACCAGCGCCGGCCCAGCCTTGGGGAGGTTACGTACCAGACGACTGTAATAGCCTTCGGAAAGAATGTCCACATTCGCTATGCCATAGTAACTCAGAAAGATAAAGGAGGCAGCAATGTCACCAGACGACGGATTGGCGGGCAGCAGGGCGTAGAGCAGCGCGAACGCACTGCCCATCACGCACGAGGCAAACATGTACCAGCGCTTGGTGTAACCGAAGAGGGCGAATGTATCGCATACCACAGCGGTTAAGGCCTTCATGGCCGAAGCAAGCCCCATAAGGCCTACAAGCCGCTGGTAGCGAGATGCCTCCACTTTGTAAACGTTGATAAAGATGGGGACGATGGAGCCTTTCAGAAATCCATACGACAAACCTTTACAGAGTAGGTAGGAGAGAGCGAGGCTGATGGTACACCCGGGGCCGTATGCCTCGCAGACCTCGCCGAAGATGGGAATGCGGCGTAGCACCGGTGCGTGGTCGAAGAGGCGTTTCGCGTCGGGGTGGAGAGGAACGCTGGCGTCGTCCTCGGCGGAGTTTGAGGCGGAGCTTGAGGCAGGGGCGGGCTGCCGATCCGCTCTTTCGGTGCCGTACGGGT